CACTTCCATCCCTTATCATTAGTAGAATTTGGTCTTTCCTTTTTCAGCTAGCCATTCCTCTCCCCCTTGTGCGTGATATCTGGGTAAACTGGGAAGAAAGCCTGGGTGCTCCTTCCTTTAGCACCACAGGGAGATCAGAACCATGTATGCTGGTAACTACATGTGAGAACTCTCACTTTGGTCCCACCTCTTCTCCATGGTAAAATCCCAGGCCACTCTCTATTCCTTGCTCTCAAAAGTCACTTCACAACTGGTTGAGAGGCTTGTCCTGCTCTCTTCAGAACCCTTGATTCTGAAAGTAATGAACCATTTCTTGACTTCTTGATGTGGGTGGGGTGTGTGTGTGGGGGGGCGGGTGTCATTGGTCTCCACATCCAAACCAAATTTTAGGTTGTCTTTCATTGTCTTTACATTGGTGGAAGTTATGTGCAAGTCTACGGAACTGCACACCACTCGCACCCCATCCCCCCCCCCCCCCCCCCCCCCCCCCCCCCCCCCCCCCCCCCGCCACAACCAAGAGAGTCAATTACAAACAATATCACAGGAGACATGACAGAGATTAGAGCCACTTTTAAAGATATAGGGGTGGTGGTCCCCATCATATCTCCATTTGCATTGCTAGTCTGTTGACTGCAGAAATTGGTTGAATTCTGTAGAATGACTGTATATTCCAGGCTTCACCAAGGAGTAATTCCAGTTGTGGATGCTATGTGCTGGATGTGGTATGATTGCTCAAGCAGATTAATAAGTCCTTGACTGTGTGGATCACAATAAACTGTGGAAAATTCTGAAAGAGATGGGAATGCCAGACCACCTGACCCACCTCTTGAGAAACCTATATGCAGGTCAGGAAGCAACAGTTAGAACTGGACATGGAAAAACAGACTGGTTCCAAAGTCCATCCTAAAGGAGATCAGTCCTGGGTGTTCATTGGAAGGACTGATGCTGAAGCTGAAACTCCAGTACTTTGGCCACCTCAGGGGAAGAGTTGACTCATTGGGAAAGACCCTGATGCTGGGAGGGATTGGCGGCAGGAGGAGAAGGGGAGTACAGAGGATGAGATGGCTGGATGGCATCACCGACTCGATGGACATGAGCTTGGGTAAACTCCGGGAGTTTGTGATGGACAGGGAGGCCTGGGGTGCTGCAATTCATGGGGTCGCAAAGAGTCGGACACGACTGAGTTACTGAATTGAACTAGGTCCATGTTATGTGGCTATTGATTTGATGAGTACATTCCTTTCTATTCCAGCCAGTCAGAGAAAGAGGATAAGTAGTTCACAATCATATAGATAGACATCTCTATTTACAGTTTACTCCACTGCTATGTTAACTCTCCTGCCCTACATCATACCCGACCTCATAACATAGTACAAAGAGATGTGGATCATCTAGACAGCCCATAGAACATCATTCAGATAAGTTAAGCAACATGATCATATCGATTGAAGAAGGTGAGTAAGAGGCATCTGTAAGACACATGTGCTCAGGAGCATGGGAAGTAAACCCTATGAAAATCCAGGGAGCTGACAATTCAGTAAAGTTTTTAGGAGTTCAGTAATCAGAGGCATGCCAGGATGTCCCCTCCAAAGTGCAAGACAAATAATTGCATCTTGAATCCTCCACCACAAAGAAGACAGCAGGGTTATTGCTACAGGCCATATGATGATGCAGAAGGTTCAGAGGTGGGGTGCAGGAGAGGAACCTGCAGCAGGTCCAGGCTGCAGTGGATGTGTGGACCATCTTTTATGACAGCCCTCATGGTGTCAGATGTATCAGTAATGGGCAGGGATGCTGTGTCAAGTTCAAGGCCAGTCCCTGTAAGAGAATTGCCACCTAGGTCCCTGGGGTTCTGGAGGAAGGCCATGCCATCAGCATAAGAGATTATATGTCTTTCTAGAAATAGCTTCTGGTGTGCTTCTGGGCCCTGGTAGAGACACATGCTTGCCTATGGGACACCAAGTTGCCAGGGTCCAGCCCCGGCAGAATCCAGGGGTACCCTAAGGATGAACGGTGTTGGCGAGGGAGAGAGAGAGAAAGAGAGAGAGCGACCAGACTGGGGGTGTGCAGCAGAGTCTGGCAATGCTTTATTTTTTACCATAGCTTTTATACCCTAATTTAGTACATTTCTAAGGGGACGATAGTTTAACATTGCATCAGCTTGTCCTTCACGAAACCAGGGTGTTTTCTGCATACTTCTTTGTTCATGAGGGTCTTGTACATTATCTTCTGGCCTTGGGGCCTATTGACATTTTATACAAGTCAGGTGAATATAAACCTATTTTTTCCTTTCTGTGGTGATATTAACAGAAAAGTTGCAGTCTCTTAGGGCAACAGTACAGCATGTCACAACATAGTAGAAGTATAACCTTGTTAACACAAAAGTCAATTCTTTTGCAGAAGTTGTCAGTTGAATTTATCTAAGAGGTTTATCCCACACAGACTCTGCGACTTTGGTGAGGCAGCCCTTGCCTAGCACTCCTGGCTAATAATTAACAACCGTCTCATTGGTACCACACTAGGGTTAAGCTCTTATTTTTCTAGATCTTTAACTATATTAACAATGGTTTCCATAACACAACCTTAGCACATTAAGAGCAAAACCACAGCAAGCAAATGTTAACCCAATAGCCACTTTCAGAATTATTTTTCTTGTGTTTTCTAATAAGGCATCCTCATTCCCTGAAGGGCTCTATGTCTATTAGGGCCTTAATATGATCAGGTTCTTTATGCTGTTTTATGATTAGGGTATTATAAGCAGTCATGCATATTAGTACCAAGGGCATAGACACATTTGCTAATCAAACTAGAATGCCAGCAAAGGAGTTTAAATTGAAACACTCCTTTCATCCTGGATAATCTCATAAAATACCACCACCCAGGAAACTTATTTAAAGTTCTAAATTGATTCTTATTTGGAAAGAGATCAGGGAAGGCCTTCTGCCTGTGTCACAGAAATTAGGGAGTAGTCCATTGAAGCAAGCATCAGAAAGATAGACATCATCTTTAAGGTGAGTGCCGGGGGCAGCTTTTCAGAATCCCTGAAAACCTGATCCACCTTGCCTGTCAGGTTTTCTCCTCATGACCTTGTCATGGGTGGAGTCTTGTGAGCTGGCCTTTTCGAAATCCCTGAAAACCTGATCTGCCTTGCCTGTCAGGTTTTCTCCCTCATGACCTTGTCATGAATAGGATCTCGTGTGTTGGCTCCCAGCACCAAGTGTTTTGGCTTTTCTCCTACCTCTGCCATGAAAGAGGAGAAGGAGAGGTACTCTCTACCCTCAAATGAAATGTGTCAGTTCAGGTCCTTCAGGAAGCCAAGCTGGAGTTGGAAAATGTGAAAGATATATGTTTCACCATGCATTGCCCCAAATGTCAGAGATGCAGCCTATTAAGAAGCAGAGACATTACTTTGCCAACAAAGGTCCATCTAGGTAAAGCTATGGTTTTTCCAGTAGTCATGTATGGATGTGAGAGTTGGACCATAAAGAAGACTGAGCACCAAAGAATTGATGCTTTGGAACTGTGGTGTTGGAGAAGACTCTTGAGGGTCCCTTGGACAGCAAGGAGATCCAACCAGTCAACGCTAAAGGAAATCAACTCTGAATATTCATTGGAAGGGCTGATGCTGAGACTGAAGCAACAATCCTTTGGTCACCTGATGCGAAGAGGCAACAAGTTAGAAAAGACTCTGATGCTGGGAGAGACTGAGGGCAGGAGGAAAAGGGGGAGGCAGAGGATAAGATGGTTGGATAGTATCACCGACTCAATGGACATGAGTTTGAGCAAACTCCAGGAGATAGTCAAGGACAGGGAAGCCTGGTGTGCTGCAGTCCATGGGGTCACAAAGAATCGAACACACCTGAGTGACTGAACAACAACAGCAATGCATCGCCACAGATGCTAGAGATACAAGGGACATTGAAACTACTTGTGGTTCCTGCCATTGTGGAGCTTAGAACTGCTGAAGGAATTGCAGAAATACATATATAATCATCAGAGAAGGCAATGGCAACCCACTCCAGTACTCTTGCCTGGAAAATCCCATGGGCAGAGGAGCCTGGTGGGCTGCAGTCCATGGGGTCGCGAAGAGTCGGACACAACTGAGCAACTTCACTTTCACTTTTCACTTTCATGCATTGGAGAAGGAAATGGCAGCCCACTCCAGTGTTCTTGCCTGGAGAATCCCAGGGACGGCGGAGCCTGGTGGGCTTGCATCTATGGGGTCGCACAGACTCAGACACGACTGAAGTGACTTAGCAGCAGCAGCAACAACATATGTAATCATTGTGTTAAGTGCTTAAGAAAAGCAAGTACTACAAGATTGCATTAGAGAAGAACTTAACTTAGGTGGGGACAGGAATGCCAGTTGAGGTGCTGTTGGTGAAGGGAGAGGAATTCTGAGACATGAATGATGAGTAGGACTTGGCCAGGCAAAGAGTGAGGGAGGTTGTGCTCAGTCAAAAAGAACAGATTATGCAATAGGCAGAAAAATGACCTCTACCTCAGCCACCCACTTCCCCTGGTCACTTCCCATGCATTGTCATCTCCTATAACTGCCCTCTCCCACCTTGATCATCAGTGATTCAAGTGTCCCACTCTCTGATTATAGACTCCTCACTGTGGTCATTTTCCAACCTCTTCAGAGCCTTCAGGCATTGATTTTTTCTGTCTCTGTCAGCCATCTCCTTCTTCACTTAATCTTTTTATTTAAAAAACCTTACTCAGGTATAATTGAAACGCACATTCTTAAAGTGTACAGTTTGATAAATGTTAAAATCTTTTTACACCCAGGTAACCATCATGATAATCAATATAATCAATATAATAAACATTTCCATCCCCCCCAAGCTTTCTTATATCCCTTTGAAGTCCCGGACTTCCCTATAGTTCAGATGGTAAAGAATCTGCCTGAAATGCAGGAGAGCTGGGTTCAATCCCTCGGTCAGGAAGATATCCTGGAGAAGGAAATGGCAACCCACCCCAGTATTCTGGCCTGGAGAATTCCATGGACTCTAGTCCATGGGGATTTGTACACGACTGTGCAACTTTCACTTCATGAGATTTTTATATATAGAAACTGTTGTCTTTGGGTAATAGCAGTTTGACTTCTTTTCTAATAATGAATACCTTTTATTTCTTTTTCTTACCATGAGACAAACACTACTATCTTAGAAAGAGTTTCTGCTTAGCTCATTAGCTTCTGAGTGCAATGTGACAGACTCAGTCCTCCATCTCTTCTTTCTCCTTGCAGTCTTGGCTCCTTAAGACTCTTAATTTTGTCCCTCTGGGCCTGTGAGACCACTGAAAGCTGTGCTTTTTTTTTTTTTTTTTTTTGGTCCCCAGATATAGCCATCTACCTGGATGAAGCCTGGATTCTCAGCCTCCTTCACTGTGCCCTAGAATTGGAAAATTTCTCCAGAGGAAAAGAAGCTGCAATATGTCACTGTATCTTTCCATGGTTCTCCTTTCTCCAGCATGTTGGCTCCTTAAGTCCTGATCACTTCAGCAGTTCTCCAGTGGCTTTAAACTTTTTTTGTCATACTTTAAATAATTGTGTTTGCTATTTATTAACGTTATTGTTGTAAAATATTGTATATATACAAAGGGAAAAAGTGTATCATGTACATTAACAGTATAAGGAACAGCAGAAAATCCCATAAATCTTTATCAGAGAACAAGCCTGACTCTGTATTGAATCTCTTCCTTTAGCTCTAATCTTTGTGCTGTCACCTGAGCTTAGTCATGCTGGCTCTGCACCTTCATCTCTTCAATCAGTAAAAGAACATTGCCTATCACCTAAAACATATAATAGACTTTTTCTCAAGTCTCTGACTCCCAGGCTTAGCCTTTAAAGCCATACACTTTTCATTCATACAGAGATAAAAAGTTGCAGAACAGAAAATAGCATTTGTCTTATTGAAGGTTTACAGGAACTTCATGACCTGACCTACCTGGACACCTGCAAGAACAAGGGATTATCACATTTCCTCTAGGGTCTGCCTAGCACCAAGAGGTCTGCACCAACCAGCCACACTCTCCCTTTTTACTACAAAAGAAGCCTGAATTCTAACTTGGGTAAAATGGTTCTTTTGGATATGAATGAACCATTTTCTTGATCTGCTGACTTTCTGAATAAAGTCACTATTCCTTGCTCCAACACTTTGTCTATTTACGTCTATTTATTTGGCCTGTCATGTGCTTAGCAATATGAGCTTATTGTGCGTGTGTGCATGCTAAGTAGCTTCAATTGTGTGCCACTGTTTTCAACGCTATGGCCTGTAGCCCGCCAGACTTCTCTGCCCGTGGGATTCTCCAGGCAAGAATACTGGAGTGGGTTGCCATGCCCTCCTCCAGGGGATCTTCTCGATGCAGGGATTGAACCCACGTCTCTTACATCTCCTGCATGGGCAGGCAGGTTCTTTACCACTAGAGCCACCTGAAGCCCCATTAGCTTGGACTCGGTAACAAATCCACCATGCAGGTGAGCTTTAGGTACCCTCCTCATTTATAGTTATTCCTAGTCCACCCTCATGCCATTATCCTACATTATTCTTTTTAAAAAACTCCTTTAAAATGAGATATAATTGGCATATAACATCGTGTAAGTTTAAGGTATACAATGTATTGACTTTATACATTTATATGGTGCAATGCGTTACCGCCTTAAGGTTAGCTAACACATCTATCATACACATAATTATCATTTTTTTTTGTGGTAGGAATACATGATGTTTTAATGGGGTTTTCCTGTTCTCTGTAGGAGCATTTGTCTGCCAAAAACTACCCTGAAAACTGAAAAAACATTTTTAATCACAATAAATGGTATTTGCTGATTTGTGATAATGCTCAATGAACCAGGCAAGCACTATGTCACTTGATTTTCAGAGTAATGCAAATAATTATTTCCATTATTTCCCTTGTATATACCAATAAGTAAATAGAAACCTATAAGGTTTAATTTAATTGGTTAAGAACACAGAAGTGAGGAAGCTGGAATTCCCAGTCAGGCCTTTTCAGCTCCAATGAATGTGTTTGAAACACACACACACAATCTATATCCATATCTGTATCTATATCTCTGAATTGTTCAGTGCAAGCAGGAAGGCTGAAGACTCAGGGAAAAGTTACTTTTACAACTTGAGTCCAAAGGCAGTTTGGAGGCAGAATTTCTTCCTCTTTGAGGGACCTCAGTCTTTTTCTCTTAAAGCCTTAAACTGTATGGATGCAGCCAACTTAGATTATGAGATTATGGAGAATAATCCATTTATAGTGCACTGATTAAAATTTCAATCACATCTAAAAATAATTTCACAGCAACATCTAGAGACATGTTTAACCAAGCAACTGGGCAGTATAGCCTAGCCAAGTTGACACATAAAAACAGCTACCATGCTCCCTGACTGTATTTTTTTTGTAACAGTTCAAACAATGGAAAGAATAGAGAAGAAATAGTGTCACACTCTCGCCTCTGTCCCCTTCCCTTCACAAAGAACACTGTCAACCTCTCAGTGAACATCCTTCGAGAACTCTGCCTATTCCTTTAACACTCATACATATAAATATATACATATGCAATGTGGTTTATTTAAATGGGATCATTCTACAGGTATTGTTTGTGTCTTATTTGCCCTCTTGAATGGTAAGTCATATATATTTATCCTTTTATTTACTTGGACATTTATCTAATATTTATATTAAATGATACAATTGAGTAAAAAGCAAAAGTCCATATTTGACCCCCTTCCTGAACCTCACTTTCATCCTCAAAAATAAATACTGTTATTATTTAAGGAAGCAGATCACTTAACTGGCTGCCAGTCTCATGATCCAGATTCTAGAATCTCCAGACAGTATTTATTGGGCACCCCGACCCTGGTCTGAGGCCCTTCTGCCCTGAGCATTCACTGCTTGCATAGAGAATGCTCCTGAGCTCCATGGCTAGTCAGAGTTCCCATGAGGCACACGCAGCCTGGCTGGCCAAATCAACTTATGGGGAACCCGCATCAGGGGACTCCCATGATTCCTCCCCAGATCTAAACGTGGATTGAGGGGAGGTTTTGGAGAAGCAGGGTGAGCAATCCGAGAGCCAAGATCCAAGCCTTCAAGACAATCTGCCCCCACAGGGCCTGAACCCAAAAACAGCCAAGCAGGAAGAGAACAACGCCATCCTCGGGCTGTCCTTCCCCAGGAAGCTCTGGAGGATTGTGGAGGATGTGGCCTTTACCTCTGCATGCTGGAATGATGAGGAAGACATGGTGGTCCATCGAAGTAGATCTCTTCCAGATGGAGGTCCTCCAGCGCAGAGGCATGGACCAGATCTTCGAGACAGACAGCAGCAAGAGTTTCATCAGTGAACTGAACCTGTATGGGTTCAGTAAAATCTGCCCTTCGTGTCACTCTGCAGGGAAGAAGATGATGATGGTAACACAGAAAGCCCTTCTGCAGAGACTGATTAGACAAGCCAAGTGCTGGATGGGTTTCATTTCCCAGGAAAAAGTTTTCTCATGAGAGGGTGGTTAAGGAAAGAGGAGAAAGCAAGATGTATTGTGTTCCACTACCCATCTTAGACAGGACCCACAGTGGTGACCCCAAACCTTGAGGGGCCACTTGATGTCAGGGAGGGCCAGTAACACCTCAAGTGAAGACAGACCCAGGGGAGCTCTAGGGAGCAACATGCTAGGGACTCATAACCTGCCAGGAATGAAGAGACCTTGTCTCCACAGTTAGGCAAGGCTGGGATGGTGGTGGGGAGGAGGGCAGCGAGGAAGGGCTCTTCTCCCACCCAATGGCTAAAGTGATTCCTTTCCTTTCAGATCTACCCCAACTCCAACTTTCAGAGAGACAAGCCTCTCCTCCTGCAGAACATCCAGAGGAAAGGCAACCCCGGAACAACTGCTCAGTCTGCTGCCAGCACAACAGTGACCACAAAGAGAAAGAAGTGAGCAGTGGCAACCAGACACTCTCCTCGGCTCCACCACAACCAGTGCACCCAAGAGGCGGGCAAGAAAGTCCAGAAGGGAACGCCACCTGCTCGCAGAACCCCCAGCTGGTGCTCATTTGTGTTCTCTGGCCTTTGGTCTATGGGCAGTGTAGCTGGGCGGGCCGGGAGAAACCATCTCCCCAGCGAGCAGGGCAGTCACAGTGGAGAGGGCACATCCAGCAATGTCACGTCTGTGCCCCCAGCTACTTCTGGAAGGGATGGAGCAGGGGAACTGCCCGAGAGCCCCCCAGAGTACCCAGATTACGATTCGGTGATGGCTCTGCACAAGACCTGCTGCTCCATCCTGGTGGTGGCCCCTTCAGTCATGGCCCCAAACGAGGCCCCTGAGGCGGAGGAGAAGCAGGGAGAGTCCTCAGATTACAAGTGTGTCCTCTGTGAGCACTTCAAGGACAAGCCCAGTCCCTGACTGCTAGGTCCCTAGGGACACTCAAAAGCACTCTCTTGTAATCAAATAGATTTCTGGCTGTAATAAAGTAGAGCAAAACTCCACGGGAGTAAATAAAGAATTGAATGAGAACTGTGAGTCTCCCTTCTTTCTGTCTGTCCATGCTATTCACACATGGCACAGGGTGAGCCAGATGAGGCTGGAAGCCCATGCCCCAGGCAGGCTTCAGTCCGGTCCCCATGGTTCCTTTTCAACTGAAGCAGCAGCATTTCACACACTCGGCCAAGGGTCTGACCCACAAGCCGAGTGCTGAGGCAAGCCCAGGACAGGCTGGTCCCTGGGCCTTGCCTGCCACTCAGCAGATGGCCCAGCCAGGCTCCTGATCTTGGGGGTGTCACCTTCCCTGAGTCTTGCACCCTGAAGCAGAAGGTGCTCCTCAAGGGTCCCCCAAGAATGCTACAACTTTCTGATCAGCAGCTGAGCAATCTCTAGCTCCTGATCCAGGGGCCTGTTTCTGGGCCTGTGGGCCTCTCCGTGTGCTGGATGCCTCTCCACCTACCGACACACAGCCTGGCCCCCAGCCTTCCCCCATTGTCCCCTGGACACTGTTCCAACATCGGCGAGTTTGGACCAGAACAGAGAGGAAAACACTAAGTGGTTTCCTAACAACACACTTCTCTCAACTACCCAGACCCAGCAGGGCCAAAACGAATGGCAACGCCATCTTATCATAAAGGTCAAAGTTCGGGAGACTCTTGCTGAGTCCAGAACAGCACTGCACGAGGGGTGTCCCGGCACCCCAACCCACACAAAGTTGGCAGCACATCCCAGGGTGGGGCCAATTCAGACTGAACCAGACGGGCACGTCCAGGGTGCAATGGTGACGACAGTGTCACCATGTGCTGGTCTCTTGTCACCTTTTGAAAGCTCAGTTTGGACAGGCCTCCTGCCCAATGGGGATCAGATACTGGGGGATGTCCACCAGGAAGATGTCCTTCCCGCCCCTTCTAGGGACAGGCTGCAGCAGCCAGCGGGGGTTGGAGAGCACAGTCAGGTACTTCTGTCGCAGATCGGGCAACAGGGCTTGATTTTCCAGCTCCTCCATCTCTTCGGGATCTAGGTTTTCTGGGCACTGCAAAGTGTCCCCAATGTCCACGAGACCTGTGTGCAAAGACAGGACACAGAATGAAAGCAGGGTCATTCAAAGTCTCGCCTGCTAGAAACTAAGATGTATCATGGCAGGGAACCAGGGTGAACTGAATCCTCTGGCTGAGCATTTGAGATGGGCTCACACTGGCAAAGGGAATTTGGGGCAAGGCCAAGTGAGGGAAGAAGTGAAATGAAAGGGAGAGGCCTGGTGCTCCACGAACCGACCAGGCCACAGGCAGCTCTCAGTCTGCCCACTGCAGGCTGGAGGGACAGAACAGGAGGGCCCTGGCGGGGAGCCTGTGGGCATCAGGTCCCCAAGAGAATCACCAGCAGAGAGCTGTTGCTGTGGGGCCTCACCCCTGGGGAGTCAGGGGACTTGCTCAGGCCTGGCTGCAGGCAGTGGCAGTGGGGAACCAAGGCTGGGTGCTTTCCTGCCTCTCATGGTCTCTGCCAGGTGCATACACACACATGGGGACACACACGTGAGGACACACACACAGAGACAAGTGCCACCTGTAGACCTGGACCCGCCTCTGCCTCAGAGCACAAATGGGGACTGAGGCCCAGACTGGTGGTCAGGGACCTCAGGCCATCATCTCCCAGCCAAGGGACCCTTGCTGCTCCTCTGAAGAAACCTCAGCTCCCCCCTCCCCCCACACCAAATGGTTCAACAGAAAACAATGCAGGGCAGCATCAGGGCCATGCAGACAGAGTGGGGCAGGCCCGCGATCACTTGCCCGCGATCACTCCACGGCCGAACTTGTCCCCGTCCTGCAGCAAGGCCTGGATCTGGGTGGGGCTCATCCCCAGCCTCTGCTCCAGCAGCTCCCGCCAGGCCTCATCCTCCCAGTCCCGGTGTGCGATGTGGACTGCCAGGGTACAGTGCTGTTGGCTGCGTAGCATGGGCCGCCACCGCGTCTCCAGGGTCTTGACACCATTTAAGATGAAACCTGCATAAGGCTGTCGGAAGGACAGACAGCCAAACTTCATCTCCCAGGGCTCTCAGGGCCTCACGTGGCTGCAGAAACACAGAACCACAAAGGTCAGGATCCTGACACAGTGGCCTGCAAGCTCACAGTCCTGTGCTGGACCTCAGCCCCACATGCCTGAGCATCTTCCAAGCCTGCTGACACGGAATGTGGGGGGTCAGAGAGGGCTGGCTCTTTCCATCTGTCGCCACATGGTCCACTGAATAGGAGGGTCGCGACCCAGAGGACCCATCCATCACATGGAGTCTGTGGGGAGGTCAGGAAGGAGGGCAGGACAGTGGGAGAGAGGCACGTGGTGAGTTCCAAGACAGAGGGACTCGAAAGCCTGGGAGCACTGAGGAGGGAGGGCAAGCCCCCTAGCTTCACAGCCCAGTGGCCGGGCTCTGGTCCTCTCCCAGCACAGAGAGGTACTGTCCTGGGCTTGGTTTCCCCTACCCTCGGCCACCACCCCACCCCTTAGCTCCCGGCCCCATCCCTGCCCATGCTCTGGCGATCTCCATCTTAGCTCAGGGCTGCTGAGGACAGATCCATGCGGATCAATCTGGCCTCAAACCTGGGGCGCCCTAGACCTCAGATGGCCCTGCCAGGTATCTTCCCCAACCTTTGGCAGCCACATTCCTCCCAGTCCTTCCCACACCACTGCCTCCACTGTCATCAGATGCCCCAGCCCTTGCCCAGAGCCTAGAGAAAGAACGGAGAGCAGGAACTACTGGGACTGGCACACTCCCTGTCCTCACCAGGGCCTGGGACAGCACCATGCAGGGATCACAGAATTCAAACCTCAAATAACCTGTTAGGTTACTGTCACCTTGTTCGACACCTGAGGAGACGCTGAGGCACAGAGTCATAGCCCATGACTGCAGGGGACCTGACTACACGTACCTCCAACCTCACTTCTTTCCTTGTATCTGGAGGGGGGTCCCTGTTCACTGTAGGGGAGTGGAGGCGGATGATCAGAGCCATGGGCCTGAACCTCAGTAGAGTCTCAGCACCTCTGAGGGAGCTTCCATTTCCACGTGGCTGTAAGGATGGGGACAAGGTCCCAGAGGCACCCAGCCCAGGGCATTCTGGGCCTTTCCTTCCCTGAGCACAGGACAGCCACAATTCTCCCAGGCCCATGAGGCACCACGTGATCTGGTTCCTAGCCTGATGGCCTGTTCTTGCCCCTGGATTCACCCCCAGTAGCCATGAAGGCCATCCTTCCATCCTTGGAACACTCCAGTCTGTTCCTACCTCAGAGCCTTTGTCGGTGTGAGGTGTCACATCATGTCCCCTCAAATTCAGGTGCTGGAGTCTCAATCCCAAGTACCTTGGCATGACCTTACAGACAAAGGGAACGTCTTCACAGAGCTGATGGAGGTCAAGTGAGCTCATTAGGATGGACCCTCCTCTAACAGGACGACTGTCCCCATACAAAGGACACATTTAGAGACAGAAAGACACACAGAAGAACTGGGGTGAAGAGGAAGGTGGAGCTCTTCAAGCCCAGACACACCCACCACGGCCAGCAAAGCCCAGAAGTGAGGGGGTGGATGGGACAGACTCTCCACAGCCCTCACAAGAGCCAAGGTCAGCTCGACTTTGACTCCTCGACCTCAGCTGCCAGCCTCCTGAACCATAACATGGTTCATATTTGAGCCCCCAGCCTGTGTGACCCTAACATGACTGCCAGCAAATGAAGCCAGAGGGTCAGCCCTGTCTGGACATCTCTCCACAGGGGCAATGGGGGATGGCTTCTCCACTCCCAGCACTTGGGCACACTCCTCCATGTCTGCACATCTGTTTTCATGTGTCTGTTTACACCTCCCAGTGTTGGGGGTCCCACAAGTTACTGATACTTCCCTCCTGATGGAAAGATAGGGAAAACTCATTCTGCCAATACAGCCACTCGACATGACCACACACTCACTGACCGAAGAGCCATGCAGGAGGCGGCCCAGGGAACAGGGCACACACCTGAGGTGCTGACACACGCCAGCAAACGGTCTTCCACAAAAGTTTCCCTGTGTCCACTCCACCAACCACAGGCAAGGGTGCCATGTCCTCACACACTGGCTGGCCCCGAGCATCATCATCCCCCTGAACCTCTGTCAACCTGCTGGGTGACAAAGGGTCACCCTCTTAACTGGTTCTGGCTTGGTTACCAGAGAACCTGGCTGGCCCCTGGGGCATGGCCATTGCTATGTCTTCTACTGGGGTATGTGACTGGATCCCAGGCTTGCCCAGTTTCCTCCACTCAGTGTCTCAGCCAACCCAACCCCTTCCTCCTGGGCGCCTCTGAATCTCACTTGTGTGGGTGGATTCCCTGGCCAAGAAAGGGCTCAAACTTTCCTACCACTCGAAGCAGAGGGTGCCTGCTTGGTGGTCAGAGATGAAAACACTCTTCCGACTGCTTGTCTGCACGTTTTCACCTCTACGAGGACCAGAGGAACAGGGAGAAAATCACCTGTGACAAGACAACAGTGTTGGACACCAAGCCACCACGGTTTTCTCCTTGGCAGGGGCCTCAGATTACGGGGACCCAGGAGGGCCCAACTGATGAGAAACACACGTGCAGGTTCCCTCAGGGTATGTTCTGCTCATCACAGCAGCTGGCCTGTCCTCATGTGACTGAGACAGGGACCCCACAATGCCTCAACGGTCAGCACAGAAACCCATCCCCCAGAAGTAATGGTGATTTACAGACCAGGAGACTGGGGCAACTAAGAAGAGAGAACGATTCCTCCCCTCACACTGCCACTCTGGAAGGATCCGGAGGTCGTCACAGTCAGTCGGCCGCCCTCCATGTACTCCTGGTTGGGCCCCACCAGGAGGGGAATGCGTACAAGCAGCTGAGCTCTTCAGGTTAGGGCCCGATGTGGGGAGCTCACAGCGGGTGGGTGGGGCTCGTGTGAGGTCACAGTCCGGGGGAGGAGCAGAAGGCTGGAGGGTAGGTCGGCATCTTCGCATGTGTCCCAGGGCATCTCCAGGACACATACGTGAAAGGAAAGCAGGCGGGGTCTGTGGCCGTGGAGGGGGACCGGAAGGTCCTGGCAGGGGCTCCTGGTCCCAGAGCCTGGAAAACCCCGCCCGGAGGTACCGTCTGCGCACGAGGCAGGTCCTACCTTCCTGCAAGCAGAGCGAATCGCGGGCGCCTTTTTGGGATGGCAGGGCAGCGGCCACCAGGCAAGACAGTAGTCCGCCACAGGAACCGCTGTCAAGTGACGGCGCCAGTTAGCCTTACTTCCGTCGCGCCCACAAACACTGAAGCCCCTGATTTCCGGTGTGTTCGGCTTCCGTACTCACGTAGGCACGCAGGCACGCAGTTACGTAGACACGCACGTACGAACAATGGCGCTTTCTCTCGCCACCCCTGTATGCTAGAAGACAGAATAGCAGTCGCCACGCTCTGAGGTGCCTGGAAGGTTAGACTGGGAGAAGCCTCGAGACCTGCGGCCTGGAGCGGGACCCTGAGGAGGACCACGAAGTGAGCTGCCTGGCGGAAGAGAGGGGAGAAGGTGAAAGGAGCAGGGCGAGGAGTCTGGGGCTGAAATGTGGGAAACACCTGAGTGAGGAGGAGCTTCTGGAGAAGGAGGCGGGGCGGGGCGGGTGAAGTGAAGCTACCCGGGGAGCGGAGCGGGGCTTACAGGGATGGAGCTGTGGGCCTGGGGAACCCACGGAGGCTGGGCTTGTCCAGCTCCATGGCGGAGCCCAGAGGGTGCCCTTTTGAGTCCGTGCCATAGGCATCCAGTCCGCGAGACTCGGCGAGAGAAAGTGAGCGCGACCCAGTGTCCTCAGTGACTGCATCCAAGCTTCAGGGTGGACCCCAGGGGCAGGAAGCGGGAAGAGGTGCAGCCTCTGGGCGGAGTTCCCCAACTCTGGGCTGAAAGCTTAGGCTGGCTCCCCTCCAAGCCACCCTGGGCCTGCTGGCCCAGTGCTGAGCAACAATCTGTTTTTTTTGCAGATGCGAAGGAAAATCCTCAGTTTCCTGCTGCCCCTGGGACCTGAGATGTCCCATAGAAAAGAAGCTTCGCCTTCAAAACTGTTTGCTGTCCTCTTCCTCTGGTCTGGGGGCTCAGCCCACCCATGGCAGCCCCCTGACTCTGCTCCTGACTGCCGCCCTCCCTGCTGTGCCCCAGCCTCCCAAGTGCCTGATCAGAGTAACGACCCTTTTCCTGTCCCCACTGCTAGTAGCTGAGCTCAGGCCTCATGGCCTGGGGCCAGTGCTGTCAGCCTAGCACGCCCCGCCCCCACGGCCCCCGCAGTTGCCTGGACCCCTCCTGTCTCTCCTCCAGCTGGAGTTGCACACAGCATCAGTTCTGTGTCACATCACACAGACATCTGTCCTCGTCAATCCCAGATTGAAAGCACAGCTGAGCCCTCTCCTGTTTAAGCCCCAACCCGTCCATGGTGCCCTGGGGGGCTTCCGGTGTTCTGAGGTCTCCTTCGTCGTCACCCAGCACTCTGGGTGGCTGTGCTGGTCCTACACTCTGTTCAGAACTCATCCGGGACCCCACACTTTCTCATGCAGTTCTGCCCCTGGACTACTGGCTTCTCTTGTCCTGACAACCTACTGTCCTCCTTCCAGGCATGACTGTAACATCCCTTTCTCCGTCCACCTGCGGGGGTCCAGCCTCCGCTGGTCCAGGGAACCCTTGGGATGAGCGGCGTCGGCGAATGCACACACACACACACACACACACAGTTGCAGTGGAAAAACTTCTTTATTTTTTCTCTAACACCTTATATATCTTTTTTTTACTGGGGCCAAGGTATGAATTATTGTTTTCAGATCTTTCCAAATGACGTCCCCCTTAGATCAGCAAAACAAGTCAGGGGATATTTTCCAAGACATAATTTCCCAGGGTACAAAATCTTCCGTCCCTAGTGGCGCGTGACAAGGATTGTTTTGGACCTCTTAGCCCACTCTGTTTTCAGGTTTAAACGTTCTTCTTGCTTCACTGCTTCACTTGAATGGACAAACGTCAGCTACAAAGAAACACATAGCTACAGGGAAAAAAATATCTTAACAGTTTTACAGTATAATCAATCACTTAACCACTATAGTTTCTATTATAATTTTACCTACTATGAAAACTTAACTTTTATATTATACACATACTACAATATCTTGCTTACTATTTAATCTACAAGCCATAATTCATTCTATTTTCACACAGCCGTCTATGATACCTATAGCACTAACACTACTTCCTAGTGTACTCCCAGGCACACCATGGGCAGGGGAAATGGAGTAGCAGCAGCGTCGCAGCTGCCTTAACCCTTACTCTACAATATGAGAATTATAGCATTGTGTGGTTAATAAACTTACAACTAAATCTAATGGTGTGTGCGTGTCCAGGGATGGGATTCACAATCACATTTATAAGCAGTTTTAACTTCTAATCTATTTCCATATTCCCTAATATACCTCCTATATATAAAATCCCACATATCTATAAATGGCCTAAATCTAAATACCTCCCGCATACCAGGTTATTCATATGGTTCCCATCTCCCTGGGGGCAGAGTAAGCCTAACTCTTCTGGGAAGCCCCCAGACGTTTACACCCTAGAGATGTCCCTGGGACCTTCCCCGAGGTCTACCAGGAACAGCGAAAAACCACCAAGAATTCCAAGAAAGAGTATTAGCACAGACAAGACACATATAGCAAGAATAGGGAGTGTCCCGGAGCCTGCTGGACTCGGATTCCCCTGGGTTCATGGCCTCCTTGGGTCCATGACCTTTACCCAGAGCCTTGTCATGGGCGGGGCGTTCGCTTGTCCTCTTCTTGGCTCCCGACATCCACCCGAGTGTCAGCCGCTCTCATCTGGGAGTTTTGAGGTGCCCTGCATCTTCTTGCTGCCCACTTTTGCCTCCGTCTTCTTCCCAGGCTGCGGCTGCTGGGCCTGAGTCTGGATCCCTGAGCATCGCCAAGACCCAGGAAGGTAAGGTCGGTGTCTACCTGGTTCCCATTAGCCGGGCACCCACACAACTGCTGCCATAGAAATGTTGAGTTGGAGCAGTGCTTTCTCTTCCAGCGTGCAGCCTGCTCTCTCCTTGCAGAAGCCTTCCAGCCACGAGTTGAGGGGCAGAGGCTGCCTCCTGGATTTGAGGCCTCAGCACTGCGGGTACCCGAGTGATCACCATGCCCAACTCCCTCATGCTGGCGCCCCGCTCCTCACCCTGAGAGTGGTTACTAGCTGCCTCTAGAAACCCCAGAACCTCCTGGTAGTGGTTTCAGATCGTGAGGGAGGTTTCTGTGAATGATAGGTGGGATCCTGCTGATCCTCCCGAATCCTGGTTTTGAACTAGATGTTGCCCAGTGAACTGGACACCTATGAAGTGTGGCTGCTGATGGGGCAGCTGTGAGGACCTGCTCCATGGCATTTCTCCACACTTGTCCCTTCCCTGCTGGTGGCCCCAGCTCTCCTCATGTGCCCACATGTGTGGACTGAGCCACAGGGAGTGCTGCCTCTTATCCCACCTGGGTCTCTGAGGCTTGGTGAGGGTTCCACTTTCCTCCTGCTGTGCGTTTGCGGGCAGCACTGACCTTGGATGGACTTGACCCAGATTCTCGGTTTTCTTCATGCCCTCCTTGCCCAGTGTGTTTTCTTCTCTGAAATACCTGTTGCCGATCTCTCTGCTGAGTCATGTGTCCTTTTTGTGCCGGGATGTGGGCACTTCTTTCGGGGTCTGGGCATTCATCCCACCCTGGTGTTTGTATTGCAGATTCGTCCTCTTCTGTTTGCAGACTAGCAATGGACTCAGTATTCACCTGGTCTCTTGGAGCTGTAAGTGCTCCACAGGTCAGCACGTGTCTGTCAGGCCCTCCCGCTGGGGGTCGCCATCCACCCTCTCACACCTGGGGCGAGCAGTCCCCAAGAAGACGCTGCCCTGGCGTCCTGCACTCTGCCCATGAGAGAGGGCTCCTTCACATCTGTGTCTGTCCCTTGGTCCCTGCCTGGCTTTAGTCCTGGGCCTTGGACCCTGCACACAGGACAAGCCCAGGGGCAGCCATGTAGCTCCAGGTGGTGAACCAGACCTATTTCTTCTCTGTCCTCAGGGCAGCTCCCGTTGTCCTCACCCCTCTCCATACCACCTAGATAGATGGAGGGGCCAGCCTGAGAACCGGACGCGTTTCTGATTTCATCTCAGTTCCGTTGCAGTTCTTTGAGAGGATGCGGCACACATGGGATCTGTGGACATGGGTGGCCACTCTGCTGCCGCTACTCGGAGTGCTGTCTGCCAAAGGGCTGGGGCACTGCCCAGGGGGGCCTGGGGAGCTTCTGTGAGCCTCTGGCGCTGCCCCGCTCGCATTCACATCACAGGCCTTTATATCACATATGACCCAGGGATGGGAAATGCCGGTTTACGAGTGTCCATCATTCCTGAGCTCTGGGGTCTATGTGCTCTTCACTGTCCTCTGTCTGAGCAGGTTGGCCACAACCCAAATACCAGGCTGCCCAGCACTGAAGGGGGCTTCCAGACACCAGGCTTCGGCCCACTGAACGGGTCCAACTGTTTAATTTGCGAGGTTGAGGAGCAAGGGGGCCGGCCTGGAGTGTGCATTGCCATCCCATACCCATGGTGAGAGGACTTCAGTGAGTGGATTCTCATGCGCTGGGCAGGAGCCCCATCCAGCTACCCTGTGAGAACTTGCGTGCCCACTGTGGTGACTTGGCCAAGCACAGAGAAGATGTGAGTAGTCAGGAGCAGAGGCCGCCCATGAGGCATCACCAGAGGTGGGAAGGCTCTCCAGTTCATGAGTGGGGTGAGTATCCCCCTCTTTTTCTGTGTGTTTCAGGAGCAGAGGCCACCCATGAGGTGCCACCAGAGGTGGGAAAATTCTCCAGTTCATGAGTGGGGCGTGTATCCACCCCTCCCCATTTTCTGTGTGTTTCTTTTTTACTCAATGGAGTTCACTTGATGGAGTTCCATTTGGCCTTACCATCTTTTCCTCACATCACATGTTCCCCCAGGTTCTGAAGGACTCCTCGGCAGATGTCTCACTAAACCCTGCACCCAGCTCTGGGGGATACTGCATTCCAGGCTCTCCCAGGTCAAGACTGACTGACAAATCCTTGGGACTGGCTCTGTGTCTCTTGCCCCTTGAGCCCCTGTGCCCAGAAACCCCAGCCCCGGGGGTCCTCCCAAAGTGGCCGCAGAGTCAGAGTTAACTGTGTCTCTCACTTCAGTGTCAAGTTGACCCTGTCTGGCAACTTCCACCCCTCTGGTGGTCCCACCACCCCATGTGGGGTCACCGACGCAGAGCCTGACGTCCCTTTGGGAGGGGCTGGGGTCATCCCTGTGTCTGTTTGCTGTGATGCGGCAGCGTCCATCCCCCAGGGGCCCGCCCTGTCCCTTTTCCTCAGTTCGAGCTGAGAACTGGCTCGGGGGCTGAACCTGGACGAGGGATCTTGACCTGTTTACTGGGGCAGCTGCCCTTGGCTTCATTGTCATTTTGGATTGTACCTTGGTCGGTTGCCCACCTCCTGAGCCTCCGGGAGGCCGCATTTTACTGACCACCTGCCCTGCTCTGTGTGTCCGGCCTCCTGGGTAGCAGCAGACCTTGTCATGGTCCCTGGGTCCTGGCTGCTCAGAGCGACTGTGTGACCTCTGCTGCAGCCCGAGTAGTGGTGACGGGGGGTGGGGGGTGTCATCCGTCTCCTCCACCACGAGGCCCGTCGAACCCGGCCTGTGTTGCACAGTAACTTTGCTCTGCTTGGTGGCTGGGCAGTAGATAACCAGCTCTTCCCATGGTTCCTTGGTTCTTGTAGCTGGTAGTGCTGTGGGTCCTGCCGCAGATCAGAGCAGTCAGCTCCCATGCTTCCTGGGATGGAGGGCACATGTGGGGGAGGACTCCAGTCCCATTTGCTCCCTTGGGGGTCGGGGGGGCACCAACTATTGGGTGGGGGAGGTGGGCTGCTGCTGCAGGCTCAAAAGTTCAGACATCTGGGATGTCCCAGTCTTTTGTGCCCTGCCTGCCAGTCTCCCTGGCCCTCGTGTCAGGGATGCAAGTTTTCCCAAGAGGACCTCCAGTGCCAGCGGTTTGGCCTTGGCGGAATGTTCAGTCTCTTTGAGGTTCAGCCACTCCTGTCGAATCCTGGGCTGATGTTTGTTCACTGCCTGAATCTTTGTCAGCTACTGGGGAGACCCTGCCACCCCCCTTGTTCTCACTGTTCTTCACCCTGAGCGGGCCATCTGCCTGTGGACAGCAGAGCAAAGAAGTCACTTCCCTCTATTCCTCCCACGATCCACACGCCTGGATCTTCTCACTTGCCAGGGAATTCCTCTCTCCCTGCCAGCCCAGTGAAAGTTCTATCAGCTGGGCTGTGGCCTTGAGCCCAGGGCTGAGGGCACACTGACTACCCCCAGGATGGGTCCTCATAACCAATGAGGCAGGGGATGTCAACCCTGTTCCAAGGCCTCATCTTACCACCTCTCCTCAGACCACTCCAGGGCCAGCCTTCTCGGGATGGGTCCTTCGTGAGGCTGTTCCCACGAGTTGTGGGGTGGGGGGGGGAGTTGGTACTGGACACTGGCTGGGGACTCACCACCAAGGGGACAGGGAGCAGGCAGGGGTAGGCAGGGCATGCCTTCACCTGCAGTGTTGCCCT